GGTCTGTTATTAATATGTCTATTGACAAATTCTGAGTTTCGAAGAGTGCCACACTCCTCTTTAAACCCTCCACTTCCATCCAGGAGCTGTTCTTTACTTCATTGCTCTAAACAAAAAAAAGAAGGATAAGATTCTAGTAAAAATGAATTTTTGGCTGTGTGGTTTTTGCTACATGTACTGGAGTTTGGCCAACCTGCACAAGTTGGAAATCGAGAACGCGATTTGTCTTCTGCTCGATGACGGTGTAAGAGCCAAATTTAGCACTATGCCCTGGCGAATCGCATCTTCCATCACCAGAGAGGATAAGGTCATTCCCCTCATTTCGCATCTTTTGTAAGAGCGATCGTTGTTCTTCTTTCCAGCACTGCACGATAGTTGGAGTAACRTAATTGGTGGTGTGCCGGTAAAACGAAGATCTTGACACGCAGGCAATATTCATAAAGCGAAACATTCTCAGTGTTTTTTGTGTGGGAAGACCTATGACAGCAATGKTATTAATCAATTAGAAGGACGGCAATAATGAAAAAATGTTGAAGTTAAGTTGCAATCACGATGCAAAATACCTGACATTAGTATTGCTGCAGATAAAAGCAGATTTCCAACTGGCATTGTCCGGACGAAATTCTGATTCGTCCACACTTTTTCCTGCTGACAATCAGCGTCTTTGCATTTTTGGACTATTTTGATAAAAGTGCCCATTGTATCAACAATCTTCCCTTCRGATGGGCCATTGCAAACTGGACACCAGCGGAACAACTCTAACAAATAACTTTCAAAAACTATATACTTCCTTTCGGTATGGTATTTTCTGGATCTAAAATTGAGCAAAAACGAGAGAGATGAGTTCACCTGCATCATATAAATATAGAGGCAAGGGGGAAAATGAGACGTCGAACCGGAAACCACACCCTGAACCTCTTCTAAATACGCGCACGTAATTTCAAAGTATTAGTTATTTAATGAATAGTTAATAAAATGCGTGTAACCACCAGATTTACCCTTTTAGTTTTTCCTGTTCCTCTGAAGTCATTTCTTTCGTTTCTTTCATTTCTTCATCGCTATCAGAGGTGAGTGGGCAGTACATTTCCCCTTCATCATTGCCATCGTCATCATCATCAGAGTCAGTTTGACTGCACTCGACTGTACCAAGCGGGGGAAGACTTACAAGATTGCACTGCACACCTATTTCTTTTAGTTCTTTTTTGAATTCCTGAGACTCTGTTTCGATAGCTTCAAAGAGGATAAAAACCGCATCGATGAAAAATTGTGATATTATATAATGTTTATTCTGAGGTCCGTTATTATTTTGAAATCGACATATATTATTCTGCTCACCTTTGCTCCTTCTTTCTGGTCTTTGGTAAGATTTTTGTGTGGCTTTATTTGCCGTTACCGGGGAACGACGGGTACTATGACAATCACTAATCGAGGTATCTGAGTTTGACATATCTACACTATCCATGCCATAAGCAGCTGCCATAGGTTCAATAATGGAAGTTTCTTGTGTTTCGACATCGGGAGAAAACTCTATTTGCTTCATGGTCTAATAAATAAAACGGCATTTGAAAAAGGTATAAAAATCTAGGTATGAAATCTTATAACCCTAGTCAAAACTCACCCGGTGGGCGCGCAGTTTAGTGACAGCGCTTGCACCTCGATCAGTACGTCTTTTCGGGGTGACGTCCGTATCGTCTTTCGAAGTTCCTTGCGATGGCGTGCCAAAAGCCAGCTTACGAGCCTTCTGAAGTTGATCGGGAGTTGGACTTGGTTGAACAGATGGGATAGCACCCTTTTTAAGCACTAGCTTGCTAGAAAAACCGGCTATTTTCGCTCCGTAACCTTCATAATCGCTTTCTACGAAGTGATCGCTACATATGTGTCCCGTTCCTGAGCTCCACGCTTTTCCATCGCGCTTGGCGAGAACAAACTTATTCCATTTTTGACAYAAGCTTGCATCCTTTGGAAATTGGTGCAAGCTTACGCCGTCCTCATTTGTCTTGTTACAAAACATGACTACACATCGTTTGCCATATCTACGTTTTCGCTTTTGACCCGCAATAGAACTCGCCATCTCTTACAGGTCCTTATACAAAAGCAGAATAGAAATGACCGTAAAAGCTTTAATTTTTGCTATTGTGAAATTTGTGAGCCTGTCACTTGCGTAACATATATAAGTACACAAAYACTCGTATCGGTTTCATGACTTTATTTTGCAAGGAATATGGTKTRCGTATCGATCAGTTTGTTTCAACATGGCTTGATAACCCTTGTATTCACTTGCACACGTGTGACGTCATCACGTTCGTGACACTTATTCGCTTATTTTTCGTCACGCCATAAAATAGTACGCTTTCTTTCGCAAATTCTACCTGAAGAAAGTTTTTTACTTAAGTTATAACTTTCCAGAACTACTATTACATGTATA